TCATCTTTGAGCCAATTAAGAATTTCCAACTTGTAATCTTCAATCAATAACTGATCCAGTAATCCAAACAAAACGACACACTTTTATCTCTTCGTAGTCGTAAGAAAATTAAAACCAATACATCCAGGACGATAGTAAACACGTTGTCGTAATGCTGATATAACGAAATGCCATTAACGACGTTGGGGAAACTTTCTTTGCAATGGGGATCTGCCAAGCTCTATACCTCAGCGATCAACCACTTTGCAAAGAAATTTCCACCCTGTAGCTTTAAGCCATTATGAATAACTGATCCAGCAATCCAAGTAGAACCACACGCCTTTATCATATTCCACAACAGAAAATTGAAACTCATAATTTATAACGCCATTAGATCTCGAACGATAGCAACCATAACAGAACCACATTGGTCTTGAAACTGATGACGAAATGCCATTAACGACGTCAGGGTAATTTTCTTTGCAATGGGGATCTGCCTAGCTGTAGAGCTCAGCGATCAACCACTTTGCAAATAAATTAACCATGCATCGATCTCTGAGCCATCCATTAGAATTTGACAAAAATTTCCAACTTCCAATAGTTTTTAGCCATAACTTCTCAGTATAAATGAATGATCCATTAGCTCAAATAAAAGACACGCCTTTAACCATTCCGCGGGAAAATTGAAACATTCCAATAAAATACCAATGGATCCACAACGATAGCGACCATAACAGAACCACACTGTCGTAATACTTATCGTAGAGAGGTTCAGATTTGACTTCACTATCGCTAGCATTAACCAGATGCATTCAATCTTCCCGAATTAACCAATCACATACATATTAAGCCAGTGAGAGGTACTGGTAGTGGAAGTCGAATCTGAACCTCTCTAATGAAAAGCCATTAACGACGTCAAGCTAATTTTCTTTGCAATGGGGATCTGCATAGCTCTATATCTTGACGATCAACCACTTTGCAAATAAATTAACCATGCATCGATCTCTGAGCCATCCATTAGAATTTGACAAAAATTTCCAACTTCCAATAGCTTTTAGCCATAACTTCTCAGTATAAATGAATGATCCATTAGCTCAAATAAAAGACACGCCTTTAACCATTCCGCGGGAAAATTGAAACATTCCAATAAAATACCAATGGATCCACAACGATAGCGACCATAACAGAACCACACTGTCGTAATACTTATCGTAGAGAGGTTCAGATTTGACTTCACTATCGCTAGCATTAACCAGATGCATTCAATCTTCCCGAATTAACCAATCAAATACATATTAAGCCAGTGAGAGGTACTGGTAGTGGAAGTCGAATCTGAACCTCTCTAATGAAAAGCCATTAACGACGTCAAGCTAATTTTCTTTGCAATGGGGATCTGCATAGCTCTATATCTTGACGATCAACCACTTTGCAAATAAATTAACCATGCTTCGATCTTTCAGCCATTCCATTGGAATTTGACAAAAATTTCCAACTTGCAATCTTCCTGTAGCCTTAAATCATTAAGAATAACTAATCCAGTAATCCAAGTAGAACTACACGCCTTTATCACTCCACAACAGAAAACTGAAACTCATAATTTAAAACACCATTAGATCTCGAACGATAGCCACCATACCAGAACCACATTGGTCTTAATACTGATGAAATGCCATTAACGACGTCAGGGTTATTTTCTTTGCAATGGGGATCTGCCTATAGCTCTATATCTCAGCGATCAACCACTTTGCAAACAAATTAACCATGCTTTGATCTTTGAGCCAATTAACAATTTCCAACTTGTAAGTAAAGCTAAACACTTTTATCTCTTCGTAGCCACAAGAAAATTAAAACCAAGAATTAAAATGCCAATACATCCAGGACGATAGCAACCACGTTGTCGTAATACCGATATAACGAAATGCCATTAACGACGTCAGGCTAATTTTCTTTGCAGTGTGGATCTGCCTAGCTCTACAGCTCAGCGATCAACCACTTTGCAAAGAAATTAACCATGCTTTCATATTCCACAACGACGTTTTGTAAATTACCATTTCACCAGGATTACCATTACAGATATATACACGCTTGAACCATCACCATATAACAGGATATCCCACCAGCTCAGAATAAAATAATTTCCAGATTACAATTTTCTTGTTATGTTGACCCACTCAAACATGCTTTTATGACAACGAAACCGCAGGCTGGTTGCAGTATACAATGGTCCCGACTTATACAAGAGAAGGATCATCTTTGATGGCACATCATCTGTCCGACGAATCATCCATCTTACAAAACGAACTATTCAATCTAATCGATATTGGCAATGATTCTCGGAACGAACGCCATATCATACACACATAAAAACGTACAAGTTGCAACAAACCTGTAGCAGACTTGTAGCAATGCTGTTCCAACAACTTGTCAACAGGATGTGTTCGCACTGCTTGTTCCCAGCTTGCTGACAAGTTGGCACAACGGCTTGTTGACAACTTGCTACAAGGTTGTTGAGCTCAACAGACCTGTTACAAGTTGTTTCAACAACTTGTTATCGTCCTGCAATTCAACAATTTGTCAACAAGTTGTGAGTGACAACCTTGTAGCAACTTGATAAAATAACAGCATTGTTACAACTTGTTGAGAACTGGCTTGTTACAAGCCTCTTACGAATACATCTTGTTGACAAGTTGTGAGTGACAACCTTGTAACAACTTGATAAAATAACAGCATTGTTACAACTTGTTGAGAACTGGCTTGTTACAAGCCTGCTGTGAACACATCTTGTCCAAACTGTTCTGGACAGTTTATACACTAAAACTTACGTTCACACTCATATAAACCCAAAATATTTCAAATAGAGGAAAGAAATGTAAACGAAAAGCATTCGAATTTATTGTTTTGAGACCTGCATGAGATGCTTGATTTGCAAGCGGTGCAAAGCTACGAAGCCACTAAGCGTTCCGTTTTCATCTCGCTCCGTTTTTCATCTTGTTACTTTTTGGAACCGCTTGCAAACCAAGGTCTCAAAACAGTAAATTTGAATGCTTTACGTTTAAATTTCTTTGCTCTATTTGAAATGTTTTGGGTTTTCCGTTTAGAAACCGTGCTCAAATTGTTAGGGCGCAAAGTGACATTTTTCCAAACAATTTCGCTTCGGCGCAGTTTGGGCGTATTCTTAGAACCCTCGGCGGTATAGATCTTTATACACTAAAATGGATCGTCTGTCAGACGGAGGATAATGCGTCTTCTGTTACGATCCTTCTCTGTACAAATCCAATACCACAACTCTGCCAATGCCACAACTGAATTTCCTATTCGGAACATTTCACTGGACTGAAATATTGCCCCAGGCAAATCTAGACTATTTTGAACAGCGAAGCTTGACAAAATTTTTCCATTCCAATACGACCACGTATATAAATTTGGACTAATTTCCTTCACAAAATTACTTTCCACGTAATCTGATCTCCTTGTAGCCAATAGAGCCAAGCAGTTCCAGCCAAACTTTTCCACTAGCAGAGCTTTTTATCGATATCCTTTCCAATGCGCGAAAAGTTCCGTTTCCGTGAATGCGATTGATCCCGTCATCTAATCAATTATCACGTAATCAAACAGTCGTTCCTAATAGATTTCGGCGCGCGCGCGCGCATGAAAAGTTCTATTTTCGATAAAGCGACATTTTTCGCGCAATTCGACTTGCCATGATACGTGCATTACGTGACGTTTTCACAACATTGGAGACCTTACGATTTTAGGACGGCAACGGCTACCAATACAATAGATCATTGAAAAGACTCGAGTAATTACAATATATAAATAATTTAGACATTGCAGTAATAAATTTACGTGGTGTTTCCACAAACAAAACCTATTATATTTTATCACCATGCAAACATACAAAGAACTTAATTTAGACATTGTTCTCGCTCTGTTTTCACGTCTTGATACAACGGCTGCATTCCAAGCCACAACAAGTGCAACTTCAAACTGGGTTTAGCAGAACTCGATCTTCCCAACCATAAAACCCATGTCTTCAACTTCTAAGACTGTATTAAATTCATACGATTGATAATATACGACGAACTATCTTTACTACCATTTATTTGAAGGAGTTTGTTTTGGCCGTCGCCGTCGCGTTGCCGTCCTAAAATCGTAAGGTCTCTAATATTTCTCCAACGAAGCGACTTTGTGGATCCGTCGGCATGACTGGCTAAGGCCTTCGCTAAGCTAAACTTTATCTACACTGGATGGTTCAGTTTGGAAAGTGCCACCAATACTTTTGTTAAATTTATTGAATACTCGCGAATAAAACAATCATGAAATTACATATTATACAATTTCATTTAGTACTTTACGAGAATAATACAAATTAAAGGAAAAGGCGCGAAGGGACGTCAAAGACTTTGTAAGTTCGGTAAATATAAGCTACAGGTTCGCTTTCTCCCATGTATATTCAGAGAGTTTACATACCCACAATACGAACTCAGAGCTGGGTTGCTTAGGAAATCAACAATATATAAATGTTTATAATAAACTAAGTCTCTGCAATCAGTTCCTAAGTTTCCAGAATTTAATTTAACGATGCGATTGAAGTATAGTTATTCTTAGATGACTGTTGATATATACGGAGTTTCCAAGTATTCAGATTCTCGTTGACTTCGGACATTATTCTTGGAATTTCTGTTATGCCAAAAATGATTTTTCTGGCAAAGGTTTTGCTAGGTTGTAATATAACCTTACAGCATCATTCCTGATGATGACTAAAACATAGTCGAATGCTGGAAGTATATTAAAAATGTTTCCTTTTCGGAGTTATTGTTGTTTTGTATTCGGTTATATGCCGGAGAGGTCATTTCAGTGCCATCGCGTCACCGCAGGGGTTTCTCAGATACGATCGATAGCTTTGTTCCAAGTATACTGCATGTGTTCCAATCTTAACGGATGAGCGAGATTGTATTGTGGACAATTCCTGCGTTCGCAGCTTGGTGCCTCACAACGCTTGCATCAACCGATCATAAAAGATGAAGCTGCCAGTGCCAGACCAAGTTGCGGTGTTATTTATCGACGCATTTCTTCAATATCCGTTCACTTGTTCGTTTGGGTTCTGTACCCTGCTGTATATCCTCTACCCAATCTACTTTGAGAAAGAAGCAACGAAAGGCCGGAGATGGATAGTCTCATGTGTGGTCATATTCGTGTTGTTAGCATTCACATCCATTTTTTTGATACCCATTCTCGCAATCGCTCCAGATCGCATAATATTCCGACCCACACCCTCGTGTTCAATTTTCGACAGTCCAGCGCGTTATATATGTCTCACTTTCAACGACCGACATCAGCATGTGTTCTACACAACGACTTGGCAACAGTGTAGTAGTTCAGATGCGAATATGAAGAATGCAACCAAGTATTACATCATTTCTTCATGGATACCATCCTTCGATCACTACGTTACGATTGAGCGTGTTCCATTTCAACCTGATAGTTCGCCCGGTGAAAACAAGACGGCGTATACCCTTCCCGAAGGCTACTGCGTTCGAGCAGCTGGACCTAGCGGAGGAGATCGACAAAAGGTCGCGTTTTATAGCATAAACGGCAACCGTCGTCATCTGCTTGATTCTGGTTACATCAAGTCAAGCTTACTCAAAAATTTTACCTCCGGTTGGTATCTTGTATCCAGCTGCAATTCTGAGCTGTCGAGATGGTGGTATAACTGTACGCTTGGATATGTGAGTTCTCATTACGTCCGGCTACCGCAGTATACAAGAACCCTGCTCCTCGAGGACAGGGATAGTATTTAGTAACTCTTATATAACACTAAGAAACTAGCGACTGCCTTATTTTCTATTGTATTTGTTCTTTGTGATTTCTACCGGCATGTAGTAAAACACCGACTACCGGAACACCGGAACACCACTGGAACACCATCGGAACACCGGAACACCACCTAACCCTAACCCCAACCCTAACCCCCAACCCTAACCCCAAACCCTAACCCCAAACAAAATGGTGGTGTTCCGGTGTTCCGCTAGTCAGTGTTTTACTACATTACCTGTATGGTTACAGAACGGCATATCTCAAACTCATTAATAATTCATGAGTAAATTAGCCAACCATAGTGCTTTATTTTGCTCACATGATAATACTGGATACATGATGAAGTATATTGATCCAGTCCAATTAGGACTGGATCAAAATTAATTTAGTAGTGATTTATTCGTATGGGATGTCATTTCAAATCCTCCATTTCGGACTGGACCAGATTTCAAGTCCTCGCATAGTCCAGTCCTCATAGTCGGATTTGAAATATTACCTAACATCCTCTTTTCTTGGAACGCATTCGATCAGAAATCAAAGACCTAGAAATAATCCTATCTGGGTTGACTTGAAATTCCTGGTAAAATCTCCAGGTTATTTTACCATGCAGGAATATTAAGTTAATCCAAATAGTGTTCTTTCCAGGGATCAATATAACGGTCGGTCACCGGCCATTAGCCGTGCAAAATGCTGATATATATGGCCGTCTATACTGATTACTCTGCACGGACATTATGGCCGACCGTTTTGTCTCATTAATTTGAATATTTCTTCCTATATTGTTGCAAATATTTTTAACGAAATCTGTAATCTTTAACACATGCAAACAAAGATTCCACCTGCTATATTGACTTCGTCCCGATCCACATAATTACAGATGACATCTCGTAAAAGAGAAACACTTTATATTATCTATACTGTTACTGAGTAAGTTGTTGATATTGTGTAATTTTGTTAACCATTATGCATATGCATATGGTTTTGGACTTTTGGTAGTTGTTACGGTTTTGGCTTCTAGTACTGTGACAGCTGACAACGTCCCTCTTGAGAATAATTAAGTGCCCGATCATGTCCGACCAAAACATGGATTGGTCTGACACAATGTCAGACAAAGTTTTCAGAATTATATTGAGCTCTGGTTATTTCTAGAATTCTAGCTTAAGCATTCCTTTTACAAAAAGGTCACAAAGTTCAGGGAGTGAATTTGAATGTAATTTTTAAACAAGCTATACACTATATACTGTAGTTTATACTATATGATTCGTACTTTGAAACGTTGTGTAAAAACACGTAGTACCGTATATTACATATACAATCACTGTGATTAAGACGAGAAGTACCAAACGTAACGGAATATTAAAAAAAATTAAAATTCAACTAATTCAGCTAAAATTCAACTACAATTCAGCTGTTCCGTGAAGTTCAGCATTCGTCTACCAACACTCTCGTATAAATTCTCGCTTGTCAAATCCCAAAGTCTCCCCCGCGCACTCGTTTCAACAAATTGAAGTTCACTGTGAAAATTTTACGCGTGTAGTTCACACACAAACCAACGTCGGATTATAATTATTCAGACAGACGAAGGTGGAAGATAGTTCAGCGGTGAAGACGATGCCGAGGTTCCCGAGGATGACGCAGATAGAGGTTGTTCAAGCGAAGACAAACTCTGTGAACTTGGGTTGCTACCAGCAACTTTATCAACTATTGATAAATGCAACTCGTGGATAACTTCAGAATTCTACAGATGCGATAAAAAAGAAAACGTTTTAGAAAGATACAGTACTACCGTGAAGTGCAGATGAGAAATTCTGTAAATTGGGATTGCTCAATTCCTGCTATAGTTTATCAACTATTGATGAAAATAATTCGCGGATAACTTCGGAATTCTACAGTACAAAGGCGATGAAAAAGATACTGCGGCGAAGGTTGTTAAAGTGAGGAGAAACTCTGTAAACTACGGTTACTTCCAGCAACTCTATCAACTATTCATGGATGTAACTCAAGGATAACTTCAGAATTCTACATATGTGATAAAAAAAACTTTTTGGAAAGATACTATACTACGAATCTGGTAAAGGTTGTTAAAGTGAAGATCAAACTGTCTGAGCTGGAGTTGCTTCAAGCAACCTTACCAACTATGGAGGAATGTACAATCATTTTAGAAGACACAAAACTAACTCCACTAAGCTTTACAAGATGATCACAGTATATTGCTTGTTGACTTGTGGTTATCTGGAGGGTAGGAATAGTAACTTGTAGTGTTCAATTGAAAAGGATGGATAGCTCTATCAGTTCTAAACTGTTCTCCTTTCATATATACACGGGCAGACAGCATAGCCCAGTTACATCACTTGAGACCTCCATCGAACCTGACCGGTAGCTCAGTTGGAAGAGCATCGAGCTAGTATTTCGAAGGTTGCAGGTTCGAAACCCAGCCACGGCAGGCAGAATCTTCTGCTTACGAAATCATTCACTCGAGAACATTATCTACCTATCATTCGTCACCTGATTCAGTTGGACGATGGGTCAGCAATCAGATTGGCATTTTCCGGTTGCCGACCTGAATTGAGACCTGTTCTACGACGTATTAGGGCTGTTTCATACGTCGCACTATCGTCGAATTTAATTTAGACGAATTTAATTGACGGTAGTGCATCGTATGAAACGAATTAAATTCGTGCAATTCAGACGGATACAGCGTCTGTAGCGCGTCTTCGTTTCATACGACCTATCGTCGTGTCGAATTAAATGCATATATTATGTTAAAGTCTGTTTCCATCTTTCTGATCCCGTGGTTTTTACTTCTGGGTACAGTAATCCACGATCGCTAATCATGAAATGATTCATACTTCGAATTCGAACAGCTAACGGTTGACCTCAAAATATAATATCCAACCAGGGTGTTAGCTAGCCCATATACTGTCCGTTCGACAGACTCTTCCCATTTGAAGTAGCTAAGGGGCTTTCCCAACTGGGTCTACTGGAAGATTTTCATTTCTGCTGATGAGAAAGTGCATTGCGTTTGATTTTATATTATTATATCAAAGAACGTTTTATTTACTTTTTCCCATTAACTATTTTCTCAAAATGTATCGCGTTTCATTCATATTGGGTGTGTATCCACTGAAATGAAATGTACAAAACAAAGTGTAATCGGTGTGCATCCGTGTTCATTCACCGGAAATGAAATATACAAAACGAAGTGCCATCGGGTGCATTTTTCAGTGTTCATTCACCGGAAATGAAATGTACAAAACCAAGCTACCGTTGTTTGCATCTAAGGAGAAACACGTTGGAAAATAACACTATTTATTCCTACACAAGGACTTTGATCGGTCAAAAAAACTTTCCCAATTTACGTCTAACGGACAAAACTTCTTTTTCTGGCTATTAAACATCCTGCCAACTTACCTCTGGGGACGGTTGAGTCGCAGTCAAAATCGCAACGACTTTTTCGGACTCCATTTTCGAGTAGACAAAACGCAACAACCTCAGGGTCTGTCGCACAACACTTTCTTGGCTGAGCATCGTTAACAAGAAGTTATCAAACACGACCTCACAGAACTCGGCATTCGTGAATTCATCTTGAGAACACGCCCATATCGTGATGAGTGAATGCAGGTGCGCGTCATGTAGAACATGATTACTGTAGGACGAGGCAATGGCTGGCAGTAATGAACCAAGTGCATGTCTGAAATCAAAATACAAAACATGAATTTGCAAGTCCAGGCCGAGTCACAAGTCATTGGGTCTGAGTCCAAATCACAAGTCATTCACTCCGAGTAACAAGTGAAGTCACAAGTCGTTTTGTCTGTGACCAAGTCAAGTCATAAATCATTCTGTACAGTTCTTTTTACTATGAACTAGAGCATCACCCATGTCAATTACAAAATAATGTACTAGCTCACAGTCATACTGCGATATTGCCAATCTGGCTGCACTAGTCAGTGTACATCAATGAATTTTGCATTTGACTTGCGTTGGTTAGTGCTGTGCGCCGGAGTTGCCGGAGCCGGAGTTCTGCCGGAGCTCCGGCGGTTTTTCCAACGCGGGCCGGAGCCGAATTTTGTATGCCGGAGCCCGGAGCCGGAGTTACGTTTTCCCAGCTCCGGCAAAATGACAAGAAAACAATATGAAATGAGACAAATGTCAAACGATTGTTAGTTATTGCAAACTGCCAATTGCTGTTAATGAATTCATCATAGACTCAAACTGCCACAGCCCACACGAACAGCGTCGAAAAGCTGTAATACGATCGCAACTTACAAACGTCATGCTTTCATGAAGCCATCTGACTTAGCCCTACATAGTCTGTGTATTCATGCCTTGTAGATAACGAAAAAGTACAAAGCAAATAAATATCAACCTTTTGAAAATGACAGAGTACTTTGTTTGCGTGCGAACAATTGCGCTGTGGAGTCTGAGAGTGTTAGCGTCATGCCTCGCGTCATGCCTCGTGTCAAAGATTTTTCGAGGCTGGTTTCCACATAGATATTTTCTGCGTGGTTAAGTGTTTTCACTGTTTTGTTTCCTGAGTTATGTTATCTGATAATTAGGAAGCGCGAAAAGGGTTATTCATAATAATATTAATAAATGTTCTCTGATCGTAAAACATTTATTTAATATTTTATGATGTGGCCGGAGCCGGAGCTCAGAGCTGTAATTCGGCCGGAGCCAGAGATGAAAAACCAGAGTTTGCACAGCACTAGCGTTGGTAACAAGTAATTTCTTGGAGATCTATAAACTTTGTAAGCGAATGATAATGTAAAATGTAACAGAAAGGTGAGCATGCAGATTCGGCCTTATCCACCACCCCATGGGAACAATGCAATCCTCCCTGCAGATGAGGCTATACCTGTGTTATTCATATGTACCTGTGTTTATTTTTTGCCATATATAGAGCGAGATAAAATGCAATTGTAAAACAGATGCTGTATTCAGACAATGATTGTTCAAATGAATGATGAAGTTCAATACGTTCTTTATTCTTCTTGTTTGGAAGTTTCTGCTCAACGCGATGCACAGAATCGTCTACCATCGTTGCCATGACAATTGGTATGAACCTCACAACCAGATCATTACTCTAGAAAAAAATTAAAACTAGTTAAGACCTTCTGGCATGCTGAAAAGAAAATTATACATACTCTTCAAATGACCAGTTTACACTGTTTCCCTTGGATTCCAAAATGGCTGTGGTTTGCGTCCGTGCAACTGGAGGGAATTCTTACCAGCAAATTTTCTTTAAAAACTTGACTTTCAATCATTGACCAAGCCCCTAAGCCCAGTTGTAGAAGACTCAAAAGAAACGTCAGGTCACCATTTGTCTATAATAAAACGTCTTCACATTACAATGAATTGAATAAGATTTTCTTATAACATACTAGAAAGTTTTGCAATTTACTTATAAACGCACAACGTAGAGTTGACCAGTGGTCGATTGTTCAAACTCTCGGTTTTATTTCTGTAGCACAAAAAATCACATGACAGTACTAATCCAAAGTTCAAAAATTTTAAATTTCCTCACAATGTTTCCTCACAAGTGTTTCGACTACGCATACAACACATAAATAGACACAGAAAAGCTATCAATCATATAATGTGTGGCCAATCTGTTTCGCTAAAACGCACTGACTCGGTAAAATTTGGCAGGCTACTGTAAGAGCGGCAAGTCTACTCAACAAAATCCCCCATTGCACTTTAAGAAATTTGAGTTAAATCTCGCAGCAATACGAGTCGACTTGTAGCGAGTCTAATTCAGCACCAGCGCTCTCCCCTTCACAAGTAAAAAAATTGTCCGGCATCAGACGGAGTCAATTAATAGAGTAGGGTGCTTGGGGCACAACACAGCCAGACTTTAAGGCCACTCCAATTTAGACTTTAGTTTCCCATCCGGCCCTTACTTCAAATTACACACGGGCGGGCGGTCCATTTCCATTATCCATTATGGTGTCTGAAAGATGAAACATGACCCATTATTTCATGAAATAGATACGTGTTTTAAATATCCATTTAGCCACGTTTCTATGCAATGTTTTTGTATGCAGAAATGAAAGCCAGGATATTAACCTTATCGGTTTTGACGTTCAAAAATCAAAACTTGTAACAGAAGTGTATAGCTCAGCAGTTCGTAGTGAAAACGGAAAAAAATTCACGCTCTTCGATAAAAGTTTCAAGAATTTTATTTCAATTTTTATGTGTTGTATCATAAATACGTATGTCTTGAACGATAGATTATTTGAAAACTGTGGTTTTTCGTAATTGTTTGTCACAAAAGTCAAATAATGGAAACAACTTTGCAATAATGAACAAATCATGCGGCCAGTTCTAGGAGATGTAGGCGGAGGACGGGAAAACTAAAGTCTAATTTGGAGTGGCCTAAGTGGCAACACATCCAGACAATTTTAGTATTTTACATTTACATAAAAATGTACCACTGTTTTTCTTTCTGACAGGAGATTAGCACCCTCGCTGCAGGCTATTTTGCAGAGAAAAAACATACCCTAGGTAATGCTTCAGTATTCGTAAGATGAGTGAGAACTTTGATAATACTTTTACCAATAACATTGATGGCAAAAGGATCGCAGAGAACCATAGCTATGTCCCTGTAAGAAGAAAGAATTAAAATTGAAGATCGCTAAAGAGAAGCTGAAGACTCTGAACAGGAGGTATACACCCGAGTGATGCGGGTTCGTAAAATAACCAAAACCGACCCGACCAGCTGATATAAACTTTGTATACAAAATGTAACAGAATGGCAAACATGCAGATTCAACCATCTCAATTAATGGTAATGTTGAGATAATAGCATTGCAGACAGCAGAGGAAAGTGGTCAGTAAGGCTCCCTCATGCACCACCCAAATGAAAACCTGTACCCCTCCTTGCAGATGAGGCTAGATCCACCCCTGGTGCATGTTACTGTGCCCCCTGCCATCCCAAATCTTACCAGAGTTCCAAATCCTGCTCTTTAAGCCTGGAAACCCCACTTTCAGAAAGTTTCCAATGTAGGCAATTATTTTGTAAACTTTCCAAAATTAGGCAGGAAGTAAAGCACAAACTAGGCTTTGAAACATGGCAGTAAAAGGTTGCAGTAAACTGTTAAATATACATTGATAATAATTTATATATTTTAGAATTTTTAAATCATTTATAAGCAGCTTACGCATTGCCTTCACAACCGCATATATTTATCGGCTGATCTAAAAGGCTTCATTGTAATCTTACTACGATTGTCAACACATTGGCTTCCAACAATGACAAGACATCACTGCCTATTTTTTTATGCGAGAAAACTGGGAACAACCTAGTTTTAATAACTCTAGGTTGTTCTCAGGCTCTTGCGCACAATAAACTAGGTTGTTTCTAGGCCCTGCGCACTAAAAACTAGGTTGTTCTCAACCTTCCCAAACAGCCAAACTCCTCGGCCAAGTAAACATCTGCATGCCTTACATACCTATATGTCTGGTTGTAATAATTTGCATTCAAAGATTTAAGGTATAGATTGATAGAATATATATGCAGAACACTTTTTCTCTTGTGTCTAATATAAGTATGGTTTGATCGTAATTGTTATTGTAAAATTCTATATAGAGGAACATCACTGCCACTGGCATGATAAAACGTCATAGACTATAACATGAATTTATTGTGCAAACCCTACAACTGCAGATCATATCAAGTGGTTTCAACGTTTCAAGTTTGGTATACACTCTCCAGAGGCTTTTGGTATTAATAATATAATAAATAAATAAATAATAAGTAGTTCACACACTTTATTGCGCAATAAGAAAAAGTGAAAAATTAGGCAATCAAAACAAATATTAGGCTAACCCCAGGCACAAGAGAAATACCATTTGGAGCCCTGATCTTACCCTAACACTTGTTCCTCAGTTGCTTTCGCAGCCTTCATGTATCCTTTCAAATCCTTAATCTTATTTGCATCAATCAACTGACTTCGCACACATGCGTCCAAACACCAAATAAACTTATGACATGGATCAACATCCTTGATTTCCTTAACGTCCAAATCATGTATCGCCATGAGCAACTCTGCACGTAGCGTACAATAGTGTGCCTCCTTCGTACGCAAAAACAGTGTCCGCAAAAACTGTAACACTAAATTGTACAGTTGTAACGACTTCCCGATCATTTGCGACAGCTGTTGAACAACAGAATGCTGTCGACGAACTTTCGGCCGCATGCTTAGAAAGTCTTGGTTCGTTAAATCTTCTGTGTCAAATATAACAGTATTCTTATCTTTTAAGTATTCGTTAAGTAACGGTCCTACCGCATCACCAAACAACGGCTGATCATGGATCCAAATTTGTCGTTTGACCTCTAACGAGCAACTCTTGTACAACTCCGGCTCTTTGGCGAGCATTTCGATAAATTTCGGCGGAACGGCTGTAATTCGTTTGAGCATGTCCATAACCACAGGCCTCAAGGCGGGAACATTGATAAATGAAAAAGCTTGTTCCAATAATAGCAGTAATTTATCATTTCCTATAACATCAAATCTTGACATCAATTTTTCACGGAGATTCTCCATGACTGTATGATGGAATTCGTATCTTGGGATATTATGCAAGTCTAAAAGCGGCAGAGCTTGTTGTAAAGAAGGCAAAAGGATGCCATTATCTTGCTGAAACGATTCCAGAAACATGGCCAATGTCGATTCGTTGCAGTTGCCCAAACTATCGCGTACGTATTCGGAACCCGACAAGCCAGCCTCGTCAAATCCTGCCATAATATAAACCACACTATAAGCAACAAAACTATTGCACTTTTTTCGAGGTCCAAGCGTTGCAAACCCCTTGTTTTTGGAATTTTTTTTAGGATATAAATTTCACGCCATTTTGGCGGACATCGGCCGGAGCCGAGTGCGCATGACTGTGCTTCGAGCTTCGATTTCAGACATTTTAAATCCTTCCCAAAATGCTTTGCGTTGCACCTCTCAAGAGCAAAAAATTCACGAAAAACCCTAAAAATTAATTGTTCTCCCCTGTTCTCTTGTGAAATGTTGCTTAAAAGCATACGAATTTGTGATCCAGGAAGTATAAAACTGATTTTGTAAACGTAAAATCGATTTATTTGTGAAATATTGAACCATCAAAGTATATATTCGATCCCAGATTCCAGCGCGGTCAAATCCAATATGGCGGCAAAAAACGCCAATTCGGAAAACGAATTAGACGAATCAAATTTCGAATTTAAACTTCCAGAGAAAGTTAGAAAATACGAAGACTTTATAAATAATAACCTCAAAGAGGACTTACGAAAAGTACACGAACAAAGAGACGAACTGTACTCAAATATTGCAGAATATTTGCAACTTAAAAACACTATTGACAGAATTCAAATTTTCGACGGTGGAAAAATGAGGACACAGGTGGACCTAGGTTGTAATTTCTATTGTCAAGCTGAAGTCAAGGATACCAAAATGATTCTAGTGGCTGTCGGTTATGGGTTTTTTGTCGAGTTTACGTTGGACGAAGCTGTAAAATTTATTGACAAAAAAGTTGAACACTTGACGAAACAGGCCGAGGAACTCACAAAGGATTCAGCGAAAATCAAGGCGCATATTAAGGTGGCACTGCAAGGATTGAGTGAACTGCAGATGTTGAATTTTACAGATAAATAATGATATCTGTGTAGTTTGGTCAAAAACCTGTATTAAGCACTAAGCAGACCTCAAAATGCAAGTACACAGACAAGCTTTAAGGCGCATATTAAGGTGGCACTACAAAGATTGAGTAAACTGCAGATGTTCAATTTTACAGATAAATACTGACTTCTGTGTACAGTATTTTGGTCAAAAACCTGTATTAAGCAGATCTCAAAATGCAAAGTGGACAAGCTTCTTAATTAAGGCCTGTCTATACAATACGATTAGTTGTATACAATACACACTTCCATAAAGTATATCACCTTGGTTATAGAGCCTCAATTTTGTGGTTGAGACGTT